CTGTTTTTATTTAAAAAAAATAAAAATATAATTTTAATAGGAGGAGCCTGGAGGTATTATAGATAAATTCAGTTTGCAGACATCCATTGTGCGTGTCCTCGGCAGTTTTTTCCTGAGGCTTTTTAATATTGTCCATATCGATATCGGAATTATATCGTATCGACCAAAATTAAGAAATATATCGTGATATAAATTTTTGCCATATCATCCAGTCCTACACTCTCTATTCCTTGTAATAAACGTAAAAACAGGGACATGTACGTCATACAAGGGCAGCCTCTATATAATCCCAGAGGATCCCAGACTCACACCAGCCGATAAGGTTTTCACCTTCGATCGTCTTCTATATAATAAAAATCACGTACATCAATAGTTAAAACTCCGTTATGCTCAACAATAATTCAGCATTACTCAGAAAAGATAAAACCCCTACGTTGTACTTGTGACCGATCTTAGTCTGGATGTGTGACTTCTCCCGCTTGTGCCCGTAGGCAAACATTTTCATATCCCACCATCAATACACTCAAACTTCACGGTGAACGTTCTTCTTAAATCCTAAATTATCCGGAGGAATAATGCACTCCGCAAGTTTAAATGCCACAATCCCTCCTCCCAATTGACCGTTAACAAGACCAAACGGTAGTTCACTCCAGATCGTGAGACAATGAGGGCATAAATATGGTGGAATACCGCACCCAAATGTCAAAGTAAAAGTCCCCTTCACATCTATGTTAGAGCTACTCGTACCGGTTACATTTAGAAAATCATCTCGCACCCTACAGGTTTACAATCACTGAGCTGTACAAGGTTCCTGTGAAGTCTGCAAAAAGATCCACGGAATAAGTTTAGATGGCAGATGGCTGTGTTCAAAAGATGTTGGCTGCAGCATCTGTTTTCACCATTGGCTGCCCTCTGTCTTGCGGTTTTGCTGCCCTCTGCAGTAGTTACAATTTTGTTCTGATCAAGTGCACATTTCTAAATCATTTTTGAGTTATTATGTTGATAAAATCAAGCGGCTGAGCTGGCCTTCTCTTTTCTATCACTGTGTGGCACTGCTTCAGTTTTGATGAGATTCCAGTTCGTCACCTCAACAATACAAAAATTATGAGTTATTGTCAAGTGCCCTTTTTTGCTATCAGTGGTTCTGCTTCATTTTTGGAGCAGTCTCGGCTTAATCAGTTTTAGTTCCTCACCCATACAATGCCTGTGCAAAGTTTGAAAAAGATCTATAAAATGGTTTTTAAGTTATTGCCTTAACAGGATCAAGTAAAATCTGCCTTTTTGTTACTGTCACTGTGGGTCACATCCCATACCCTGCCTGACCATCCTCTCTCTTCTCTCACATGGTCTTGATGGGCCACACCTGATGCTTGTTGCCCTGCATTAGTTTCTGTATTTAACTACCCGTTTGTCTTGTCCTTGCTAGTCCAATTATTTGTGGAAGTAAGAAATCTGTACTCATTTCACCTTCTCTAAATTCTGCTCAGCACCAGGCATGAAGTAAATTTACCTGACACAACTTGGGTAAGATTAAATTTCTTTCATTAAGGCAGGGCACCCTGGAGTTGACAGCAAAGAAAGAGAGTATCCCCGTTCCTAAGAAGTGAATCTCTGAACAAAGAAAATGCTCAAGTTTTATACATTTCTGCAACTCACTTTAAAAGAAATTCTTCTACCCCATTGGTTAAGACAGGGGCTCTTGTGAGCGGGCAGAGTGCATGATGACCTTGTACATCTCTGCATCCCTTTAGGCTCATGGCCAGTCAGCCAATCACCATCAGTGGCATCCTATCTTTGCTATTCCCTCATATCATGTCCACATGTTAAACAATACTATGTAATCAAGCAATGTATTTGGTTCATGAAGCTGTTTCATTACAACGCATTCATCAGGCCATATGATCCTCAAATATATAGTAAATAGAGTAAATATAGCCTGTTTGTCTCCAGTCAATATTTCTGACTGCTTCCCCATTATCTTCCTCTTCCGCACTGAGCAGCCAAAATAGTACAGTGGTACCTCAGAACTTAATCCGTTCAGAACTGCGGATCGAATCCTAAAAAGTTTGAGTTTTGATCAAATTTTCCCCATAAGAAATAATGGAAAACCAATTAATTGGTTCCTGGTCCCAAAAAATTACACCTAAATATGTTTTTTTCAGCATTTAAATGCAAAATGAACCGGATAAACAAGAACGTATACTGTACATTGATATGACATTGATAACAATCTCACTATTCACCTCTCTCTGACATACAAATTAACATTGTGCCATCTGCTAGCCCATGTCCTTCTAATCTTCTTGTTTTAATCCCTCGTGGTCCTGTTTATTTTCAGCTCAAGTTTGTTCAGTTTAAGTTTAGTTCAATAAAAAAAATAAAAAAATGTTTCTGTTTTGCCCAACACCTTCCTTCATCCTTCATGTCATGACACTATGTGGTGCTAATTCCATTTTGGGGCAGTCTCAAAATTTAAACTGGTGCAAAGTTTGAAAAAGCTCCCTGAAATGGTTTTGGATGTATCACTCTACATACCATGGCTTCTGCGGCAATGGCAGAAACCATATGTATTCCCCAAATTTCAGAGAATATAAAAAGAAAGTGGTTGTATTATCTTGTCTTAACTTGAACAAGTGTGTTGTGAAAAACAATATTTTCTTTTGCATAGGTGAAAAGGGAGAATCTATTTTTGATAAAGGAATAGCAGGAGAGAGAGGAAACCCTGGAGACAATGGTGCATGTGGTAAGTGTCTTGTGAACAATTAATTGTCTTATAAGTAATTTCAGTAATATGCATAACATTGTGGGTTATGTCACTTTTCATCTAACCTAAGCACTGATATATATATATATAAATTTATATTTTAAAACAGAGGAACACTAATGTCCAAAATTATTTAGGATACATTCCTCATTGGTCTGGGCAATATAAACGATTATCATATAAAGTTTAAATTATAAAAAAAGAATGTTCAGTAAACTGTCCATAAGGAACATTGATTGATAGCACACATCAACCTATCATAACAGAGAAATTAACACAATTTCAGTCAATCATATGGTAGTTTTTTAAACATGGACAACCTATGCCCAAAAAAAAAAAAAAACTCATTGACGTTGATCGGCTTAGCGGAGCACACCACATGCTACTGTTTTGGTGATAGGGAGATAGTAAGAGAAGAGCGCTCCTTCACAGGAAATTTAAAGGATGCCACCTGAGTCTTTAACAATGCAACCAACCAACCAACCTATCTATCTACAGTATCTATCTATCTATCTATCTATCTATCTTCTAGTAAAAAATGTAATTACTTCAATCATGTCACAAATAGAGTTGAAATGGTAGGAAAATTTAATTCATGCTGCGCCTGAGCTCCTGCCTCTGGCAGATTATTGGTGATTTTGGTTGATGCTGGACAGTATTTAACATGAGTTTTTCGAAGCATGGTAATCAGTCGTAGTTTTAATGATAATTAAAATTTTAAATGATAATACTAACCATCTGAAAATTTACTGTTGTTTACTGCTTCATACTGATTCATGATGATTGATATTAACTGATATAGAAAAGAATTGTGACAGAATATTTTGCTATATCTCCCAGCCCTTGAAAGACATTTTAAGAGGATAACTGACTCAAAAATGTGTTGAAAACCCCACAGGGATGCAGGCCCGTGTTGAGCTGGCAAGATGTCTTTTGTGTAGGAATGAATCAGTATTGTCAGAAATTTGAATATTTAAAAACGTATATAAAAAAAATAAATATTAGAATCGAGTACTAAATGAGCTGTTTTAAAATATTATTTAGCAGCAGCATAATTATTTGTGATTTATCCATTGTCAAATAAGTTAGCGGTTTATTCATTTTGAAATTTACTGCCATTGTTTTTGCATGAACTCTACACGTGATACCCGAAGCAATCATAGTTATTTTTGATCTTGTTCACTCATATATAGTGTGTTTTTGAAATTCATGTTCTGTGAAATTAGTTTTTAATAAAAAAAAGAGTGTGTTTTCTGTGTATAAGTAGGGACCTATGGTGAATTAATCAGAATGTGAAATATTGGCTTGCCTTTTCCATTACTCTATTGATGGATAATACCAAGTTCAATTTAGCTATAGTTTATTACTTTCAACTCCTTTTTGACTTTATAGATATTTAATGCAAAGATTTCAAATATCAGGTACTTGAAGCACTCATCTATAATATATTATAGATACTTTGCATTATAATGATCAGTATAAGAATTTAGGATGCTTTGTAATGCATTATGATGAGAGCTTCATTGGAGCTTATGACGTATTATAATCAACACTATAATGCCTTAAGACTGTCAATAGAAGATGCTGTAATGTCAAAAATGAATTCTTATACCAACCATTATAATGCATATAAAGTTTTGTAGTAATGAATTATGTGTCTTTTGTGTATGGAAATACATTAATGGAGTAGCCTACAAAGCAGAGAAGTGTTGTTAGGATTGTGTTGCTAAAAATAAAGAAATCATCATTCAGCATAATTGTATAATACCCAGGCTATTAAACGTTATTGAATGCTACTGCATTTGAACTATCTTTTCTATATCTTCAGTTTATTTTCAGTTTCAATTTAATTTGTTCAATTTAATTTTGTGTGAACTTGAATTTCTTTGTGAACAGTTTAAATTTTATTCAAATCCTTGGGAAGGAGGGGGTCTGAATGCTGCTGTGCTGTTGTGTGTGCTACTCTACACAACACTGCAGTAATTATTTTGTTAATTTATTTTTAACCACCTTCTCAATAAGGTGCTATAACTCTACTTTTGACGAGTGTTGCTTCCGTTTATTATTGCTACTTGCCATTGTTCTTTTTTACAAGGAAGCTACATCATGTTTTGAGCCTATTAATATATTTTCAACTAAAGTTAATTTATTTTCGTCTTAGTTTTGTGTGCTTTCACATTTTTTGATAGATATTTTAGTTTATTATTTTTACATTTGCATAGCCTGATTTGACGATAATGTAACATACATTTCACTATTGAAATATGTATGATTGATAATCCTGTTATCGACCAGTCTGTGCGTTTCTCACAAGGATGTTGGGAAGGAGCCAACAAAAGGTAAAGATTTCTCATTGAATCTGGTATAAGAAAGGGTTTTAGAAAAAACTCTCAAATCTCACTCATTCTTTACCTACATTATTCTTAATCTTGTTCATTATTTGCTAAGATCTTTCGTTATTCGGGAAATACACCCCTGGTCATTATATTCTGGATCACTGTTACACCGCAGTTAAAGATGCTTATCAAACTGTGGCATGAGCATGTCTCAGGCATTCTGATCACAGTCTCATTCACTTGATTCCAACTTAGACAGAAATTAAAAATCAACAAACAGTTCAATTCAGCAATTCAACAGTGGATTAGTCATGCCATCGGAAACCTACAAAGCTGCTTTTACATCCCAAACTGGAACATTTTCAAAGACTCAGATGGGCTAGATTAATACACACATGTTGTGCCATTGTACATCAGCTTCTGCAGAAACTTCTGCATCCCAGTAAAACACTGGGTGAGGTACAATAATAACAAGGCATGATGTTAGGCAGAACTCAGACAGCTCTGGGGAGACAACGACACTGGATTTAGGAGTCTGCAGAAGCATACAGGGGATTGTTAAGTATAAGGTGAGGAATCCCAACCCTCTCACAGATAATGGCCAGCTCTCCAACCAAATGAACGAGTTCCATTGCAGATTTCAGATGACAAAGGATAATTCCCAGCCTTTATTTCCCAATCATTCTCCCCCCAAAATTCATGACTGCAACTCAAAAAGTCAGCTCCACTTCTCCACCTTCAATTTCCCTCTGGCCCCCCAACCCCCTTCACCATCTGTAAACAGGATGTCTGCAGAAAAGGTGAAAAAGGCTTCCAGCCCCAACCTGGTATCAAAAGCTACCCCAAGCTGCTGTGACCAACATTTTCAATAAATAACCAGATTTATGCTCTGTTTCCACATGTTTCACATCCCAGTCCCCCAGAAGACTACAGTCAAAGGTCTAAATGACTCCAGACCTATTACCTTGACTTTTGCAGTTATGAAAGCCTTTTAGCACCTTGTCTTGATCTACCTGAAAGCCATAACAAGCACTCTGCTTGACCCCTTGCAGTTTGTATACAGGACCACCAAGTCTGTGAATGATGTTGTTAACCTGGTCTTGCACTCAATACTAGACCTATTCAAGAGTACTGTTTGTGGATGTCAGCTCAGCTTTTAATACTATTTTTCCTGAGCTGCTGCAGGTCAGCTGATCTCCCAGCTGTCCGTACAGTATTCCACCTATCATTTAGTCACAGATTTCCTTACAGACAGAAGAAAGTAGGTACAGCTGCAGAGACATACTGTACATCTGACCCCCTCAGCACTGGTGCTCCCCAAGGCTATATTTTGTCACCCCTTCTATTCAGTCTGTATACCAATGACTGCACCCCTAAAGACTTCAGTGAAAATCCTACAGTTTTCCTATGACACAATTGTGGTCATTCTCATAACTAATGGTAATAAATCTTGTTACAGAAACCAAATCATGCAGTTAATGTCTTGGTGCAGGCAAAATTATCTGGTGCTCAGAACTCAGAAGACTAAAACGTTGGTTGTGAATTTCAAAAGGCAGCCCCCCTTCAGCATCAATGGCTCTATGGCCTCCACTGCGGAGTCACTTAACTTTCTTGGTACCACCATACCCAGAAACCAGAAGTGGGAATGTAATACAGACTCTACCCCAATCGCAAACTATACCCTCGACACTCTGCCTTCATTTCGAGTCACACTCCCTCTGAGGCATCCTCACAACACGCCCTATGCACTTAAACTGAAGGAAATTGTCACAAGAAAGATTTGAGACAGACTTGCCCTCGCAGCGCCTTTTTACAGTCTTCTTTACCGGAAAGAGGAAATGCATTACGTAGTGATCTGACAAAATGAAGAAGCTGTATTGTATTTTCTTTAATGACATATCAGTTATTTAAAAAAAGCACAAAGCTTATCTAATGCAAGAGGATGAAGGCTATGTCATCTTATTGCACTGACTGAGCAATTTGAAGTATGTACACGTGTCATATTGACGATTGTACAATTTCTATCATAGCTAACTTAGTGTACACACATAAAACATTACGCATTACTTCTGTACCAAATACCAGATCAGATCTGTAGAGGGAAAAAACTGGCAAATATGAAACATAAATTGTTATTGCTGTTGTGATGTTGATCGAGTTTGCATACGAACGTTTCTTCGCGTGGTTTCTAGTTTGTGAAGTACACAAAATCTCTCTTAATCGAATCACGATAAAATCTATCTCTACTGACCAGCTACAAATAGTTGCTTTCCTAATTTTCTGCAGCGATGAATTATAACATGTAACATAGACTTTCTATGTGTTTCACAGTGCTGTTAGAATCCAATTATTACATTATCAAGAACATGACATTGTGTATTTTTTTCTTTTTTCGCGCAGTTCTGTTTCCTGTGCACTAGGAATTGTGGGATATGGAAGTGGTAGTGGAATCACACAAGCCACCATCGTTGCTGACTTGCTTCAGAAGGGCATAATCGACCACTGCCCTTTAGCCCTTGCTGCTTTTAGACACACTTCAACATGGCGATGGGTCTCGGGAATGCGCAAACAAAGGCGGAGTGGTGAGGCAGAGTGTGTAGGGACCGGTTTGGGATTGGGTCTCTATCACCAGAAAAGCACAACAGAAACTTTAATTTCTAAGACAGCTGAAGAAATTCAGTATACCTGAGGTTTTAATGATTCAGTTTTATAATGCGATCATTGAATCCATCCTCACCTCCTTCATAACAGTCTGCTTCAGCTCTTCCACCTCAATTGAAAGAGGGAGACTACAAAAGGTGAAAAGGACTGCAGAAAAAAACATTGGCAACATTGTGACCTCTGTACAGGACAGTTATTACAGCAGGGTCCTAAAGTATGCCACAAGAATAATGCAGGATATTTCCCACTTCCAGCCCCTTCCTTCTGGAAAGAGGCTTAGAACCCTGAAGACAAGGACACACAGACAGGCCAGCAGCTTCTTCCCTAAAGCAGTATCTCTTCTGAAACAGCACAGCCACCCGCATTAGCACTAGTGGTATCCAGCTTAAACACTGCACCTTTGTGTATTCTCCTTTTTTTTCTCACATTCCTCATAACATTATTGCACCTTCAGTGGAACTGCACCTTACTTGTATATTTTATGTTTCATGTTACCTGTCTGATGTCGTACGTCTGTGTTCTGAGCCACATACATTGTAACATTTGGAAAAAATTGTGGTATGCTTGACATACCTGGTGAATGAAGTGTTTCAGAGTCTGAGTCTACTCTGAGCTCAATCATTAATAGGGTGTTTCTGACAACAGAAGGACCGCTTAATGAAATGAGAATAAGGTCAAATGATACTGCTGCAATGTTTCAGAAATACTCCATTTCAAACCACTTTCCAGGTCCGAGAGGCGACGCTGGTGACTCCGGCCTGTTAGGTGCCTCTGGCTATACAGGACAAAGAGGATTGCCTGGAGAACCTGGGCCTGAAGGACCACAAGGAGACCCAGGTAATAAAAATAGTCTACTGCCATTAAAGCAGCAGCCTTTAGGTGTTTGTAAAGTTAACAAATAAGCCAAGTTTTTAACTGCCCGAACCATTTTTATCCTTAAAAGAAAATGTAATTATTTAATTAATGGATAGATGTGGCCAAGGCACATCCAACTGGCTTCAAAATTAATGAAATGCAAGTTTCTCTTCAAGATCTAACTTACCAAACACTAGAAATGAGTGTGAGGTTGCACAGCCTAAATGATGATTAGATAGCCACTATGAAAAAAATGAAAATGTCCATGAAATTATGCTTGTCAGATTTTTCACAAACGTAAAAAATTAAGTGTAAGAATAAAACATGTTGTATAGACTTTATAAGCAGGTGAAAGATGGTTGTATCTTTCTGAATGATCATTGCAGAAGGATAAAATTTTATCCATTATCTTTTATTACACATTACTTATTTAAGCCTAAAGACACGATCTTAGTCTTCACATCTTTGTTGTTTTCTGGAAGGTGACATGGGCCTTCAAGGTCCATGTGGAAAAGAAGGACAGGAAGGTTTTATAGGATTCCCTGGACAGATTGGACTGATTGGAAATCCAGGACCTAAAGGACTTGCAGGTAAAAAATCAAATTCATGTTAATTTATATCCATATTTACATACATATACAGGAAACGTGCGTACAGTACTGCGCAGAAGTCTTAGGCAGTTAATGAAAATGTTAAAGACATGTGCCGCAAAACGATGTTTCAGTCAATGATGAACCATGTATATGAAAATAGCAAGCTTTAAAAATTTAATTAAAACTCTTACTAGCATTAACATGTCTGGGCTGTTGTGTGTTCAGTTGTCAGGATTGATATTCCATAGCAACTTTGCATAAAACATTATGTAATTGAGCTCTGAACTAATGTCGGGCCGATATCTGAATTTACATTAGCGAAAATTGCCGCAAAAAATACACTATATGTACAAATGGATTGGGATACACCTGATAATTATTGAATTCAGGTGTTTCATTCAGACCCATTGCCACAGATCAGTGTCACTTAAAGTGTTGAGGCACATAATGCGTAAAAGTCACCAATGCTCTCTTGACTCAGTAATTGCAGAGTTCCAAGCTTCCTCTGGCATTAACCCCAGCACAAAAACCGTTCATTGGAAGCTTCATGGAATGGGCTTCCATGGTTGAGCAACTGCATGCAAGCCTCATATCACCAAGCATAATGCGGGATGGAGTGGTGTAAAGCACGGCACCACTGGACTCTGGAACGGAGTATTCTGCCAAATGACAAATCAGGTTTTTCTTTTTGGCAGTTGGATGGACGACTTTGGGTTTAGAAAATGCTAGGAGAACATTACCTGCCTGACTGCATTGTGTCAACTGTGAAGTTTGGTGGAGCAGGGATAATGTTATGGGTCTTTTTCCTAGGCCCCTTACTTCTAGTGAAGGAAACATATTAATGCTTCAGCAAACCAAGACAATTTGGACAATTTTGTGCTTCAAACTTTGTGGGAACAGTTTGGAGAAGACCCTTTTCTGTTCCAGCATGACTGTGCCCCAGTGCACAAAGCCATAAAGAGCCATAAAGCCATAAGACCCATAAAGACATGGTTGGGTGAGAATGGTATGGAAGAACATGACTTGCCTGAAATTTACCCTGACCTCAACCCCACTGAAAACTTTTGGGATGAACTAGAATGGAGATTGTGAGCCAGGCCTTTTTACTCCTGAGTTAAATTTGAAGAAACCAGATGGTTAATTGTAGCTATTCTTTATCATCTGAATGTGACAAACACTTGCCAAACAGCAGTGATGGCCACAATGACAAATGAACCCTTTTATCGCCAAGCCCTATTCGACTTTTTGTGTTGATAAAAACATAGGAAATGAGCTATTACCCAGAACAATGGAGATGATGTTTAATGTTTCTATTTTGTGGCTTATTTGGAGTCGTTTTGGGCGCAGTGAGAAATGGCCTCAGAGATTCATTGAATATGCAACGCAGTGATTTTTATTTAATTATACTGCATGTATAAAGATATTCCTGCATTTTACTAAGTGTCTCAGAGTTTTTGTATGCTACATCCATTTGTTCCTGGATACTCCGGATACTCTCCAACAAACACTGTGCCATAGGCTAAAGTGATCCCTTTGTCGCAATGTTTGTTAAATGCTTGTTGCTACTCGATCTGTACGGACTTCCCAATTCATTCCTTCTGGGTCCAGTTCATGTATGGTGTACATGTTCACATCATTGACATCATGTCTGTCTTTCCTGCTCACACTGGAGTCTGATTGAACTGTGCCTGGGCCCACCTCTCCAAGCAGGAAATACATATGGTTTCAGGACTGGACTGCCACAGATACTTTCTTCTTCAGGCGATAACTCAAAAAGTGTTTGACTGACCTTTTCCAAACTATGCAGCAGTATTGTATAAGTGATGAAGTGGAACTGATTGAATTTTGAGACATATTGCCTCAAAATTGAAGTAGTGCTGCATAAGTGATAACAAAGGGCAGTTTTAAAATTAGTTCTTGTTAGAGCGTAACTGAAAAAGTATGTCAGGGATGTTTTTCAAACTTTGTACATGCATTGAATAGCTGAGGAACTGGAACTGGTCAAATTTTGAGAAACTGAAGCAATGGGTGCTTTCACACCGCAAGAACTTTTTTTAGGAGCCAGAACCTTTTTCCAAAACCAGAAACTTCTACCATGTTCACACCATAGGAACTCAAACCTATTTTTAGTCCCTATATATCTTGAAAGTTACGTGGAAGGGCTGGGAAAATAGATAAAAGTAGCCAGTAAAATTGAACAGATGGAATTATTTTTGTACCTCAATAACATTAAATGCATCAATGAACATGTTTTTGCTTGTATTACCATATTTCTGCATGTGTTTTCAGGGTTTCCACCGCATCTGTCAGTTTACAGTATTCTGATTATGTAGCGTGGGTATCATGATTTTGTATAACTTCCATTTTATATCAAATCACGCTGAGGGTCCCAGGTCACCCTCTCAGATTCCTCTGAAAAAAATTCAGAGGTGCTCATGTGCCAAAATTTTGCAGAAATCCCAAATATTAGATCTGTTTCTCTAATAGTTTTGAAACTTACAGCATTTTGAAATTTTAATTAATTGCATACATTTTGCTATGGAATTTGATTAATATTATGCAAATATTGAGATGGTCTATTTGTTTAAATAAGTAAAGATCTTTTATTATACTATTTTCAAAATCTTTTTAGGGCCTCCAGGACCCTTAGGTTTACATGGGCTTGATGGACTAAAGGGTGAGAAGGGAGAGAAGGGAACCAAAGGTAAGCATGACATATATGGTACTTACTTTCACATAGCTGCATATAAAGGTGTAGGCATCGCTGGCATAAATGTCTCAGATAGATGGACCGGCATGAATCATGAATAATTTACCTAAAGAACCTCGGTGAAATGCTCAGATTCGGAAGAACCAAGGGTGTCCAAAAACATGTATCCCTAAAAATCCATTATTTCAGGAGCATGAAATGACACATTTTCACAGAAACTTTACAAAATAAACCTAAAACAATGTAATGAGACACCCTTAGCACCACAGCCATCAGTGGACAATTTAATGCTTTAAATGGACGTACATGGATTGTCAGCAAGGTAAATATGTCGGTATCAGCAAGAAACAAAACGTATTCACTTATTCAGCTTATTCAGTATTTTAAAAGGTGTTAGTTACTTATCTAGCTATCAACATTATTAAAGTTGTTATAATTAATGATATAATGTAATCCATACAAAGGACCATCAGGAATTCATATGTTAACTAGTACAAATGCAAATTCTGGTTAAATGGATGAGTTCATGAACCATCTTTTTATTAGTCAATTCGATGTCAAATGCTGTCAGTAGACATAGGGGTATAGGCCTATTCCATATATAGTAAAATTATATGTTTTGTACATTATACAAAAAAGGTCTAGATAGCAAATGACAAAGCAATTTGACACACAAACTGTACAGTACAGAATGGGAGGTATTTTCTGCAAAAATAAAATAAAAATGGAAATGATTAAAAAAAAATACAATGTCCACTTTGCCATTTAGTTTCCAAAGTCTGTGCACAAAAATCCTGCAAAAATTAAAATTAAAATGAAATAGCACCATTTGCATCAAAATTTTCCACTCATGTCAGATGTGAAAAATTAAAAAAAATAAATAAAGTTGAGTTGAGTTGAGGGGTGCTCAAATATTATATGTGAATTTTCACATTTGCAGGGATCTTCCACCCCTAACCCTTGCAAATGTGAAGGGGTTACTGTATACTAAAAGTGCATATGATGCAAAAATATGATGAGAAACATATTAGACAATCCCTGCAGATACAGTGTCTCTCTGGCATTCTTCCTCAGCACAGATAAGTTTGTGACCATAGATTCTGATACACCAATGTGTTAGAAACTCGGAATTGTGTCAATAAATGTCTTTGCTAGCATTTTAATCTTGTTTGTAGCAAAGTGATTATTGTTAAGTATCTTTAAAAATAAGTCTCAAAACGTTTTCTGATGTAGATACCCATGTTTCTCAGGTTCTGGACAGACAGGGCCCTCAGGACACTGGGGTGTTCCAGGCGATAAAGGCCCCAGGGGAGCAGCAGGCTCTATTGCCCACTCCAGGCAAGGGGTAAAAGGCTCCACAGGGCAAATGGGATGCTCAGGTATCTGCACACTGATAAACAATTTTGAACAGTGGTATTTTGTACATTTTGTGTTTATTTGGCATGGAGAGTTTATCAGTTTATTTAAACACCCCAAGGTTTTAAGGCATTAGATATAGATATAATGTAGTTCAGTGATTCTCAACCCATGGGTCGCAACCCAAATTTTGGTCGCGGCAGGTTTTGAAAGGGTCGTGAGGCCGAGTTGGAAATGTAAGCATTTTAAAACCAACGAGCTCCTATGCTGATCCATGATCAGATTTGCCAGCCCCAGTCCTAGAATTAACTAGGGATGTAACAATATGAAAAGCTCACGGTACAATAATATCACGATAAAAGTTTCAAGATATGATAATTATCACGATATTAAAAAAAGAAAAAAACTCTTAATAATTAATAATCAACATGTTTATATCAAATTAGTTCTTCCTTTTAACATAAAGTGCTTCTGCTTTTCTTTATTAGTGAAATATCCAGCTATGACCTTAAGCCTCTGCCAGAAATTAGCAGTAATTGTTCTTTGCAATGAATGACTGAATAATGCATGTAATTATAAAACAAAAACCAGCAGTCAGTAGTTCCTTTATAAAATATTAATTATTACTGCAGCTACTGGATCTTTTATTCAAAACACAATTTGCAATTACAAAGTAGTGTTTCCTATCATTTTTCCACCGGGTGTGTTTTCACCACGTGAAATATAGTCCACGCCCATATAAACTAACATGCTAAAAAGTGTGTGAAAACAGTGCACGTGAAACACTTATGAACCTGTTTTGGGTCCAGTTAGTAGTGCTACTGTCCAGTTCTAGGTTCGATGGGAGTGGTGGGTGAAAAGATAATGACACCTCAAAATTTAGAACAGCAATCTTTAGTAAATATTAATTGTAGAACGTGAAGAATTGTGAATACATTTATATACATTTACATTTAAATGGATATAAGTAAATCTACCTTTTTATAAAATATGGATTTAAAAATATGGATTTTATTGTTTGTTTTGTGTTCTAAGTCCAGTGGTTAAATCAGTTATTCCTAGTTAATCCTAAGTCTAAATCTAGTTATATCCTAGTTCAGTTTTGCTATTTTTTGACTGCACATAGATAATCACCTAATAACTCCTTATTTAAATTCTCTATCCAGTATCTTTAGCACCTATTTATCTTTCCTTTAAATCAGTAACCTCCCCCCACATATGAAACTCAAAATTCAACACGTATAAAGGGAAGAACCAAAATCACATCATATACTATTCAGGCATAACAATTTCCAAGGGTTGATATACTGTTTAATTCAGGCAGAACAATGTCCAAAAGTTAATATATAGTTCAATTCAGTCCATCATATCCTAACTGCACACGTTGCAAGAAATTCAAAGTTCCCTCTACTCATCCTTCACCGTTGCTCCATGGGTCTAGCTCTCCATCCTGCTATGAATTCCGTTCAGTAGGTCCCTGTTCGGCGAAGCACATGCAGGAAAATCCATTCCAAATCTTCAGAAGTGTCAATGTAGCACAGAAAAAACAATTTATCATAGTTTAAAGCATTTCTTCTATCTTCCTTTTCCTTTAGTTAATTAAAAAAAAATCTTCTTACACCACATAAGCTGTAAAATCAAATTTAGCAAGTTTTATTTTTACCGTATTCTAAATCCTATGGCAGCACTCGCTGCAGACAGCTTCAGCCGCTTAAAAACAACCCACACTCTCCACGTTACTTCGTGACATCACCTCACAATCTGCATACCACTTTTGGGGTAGTCTGACATGCCTTGACATTTTAAGATATTAAAGTGTTACATGTGCTTTTATTCAGCACAAACTCAGCACCAATAATCTGAGATTAAGATTCTGACATTCACCAATGTTTTCTTATCTGAATTTGTTCTTAGCTAAGAGCAGAATCTACGGACACCCAAGACCATTCGTACGCACATTTGAGTAATGATAGTTTGTTCAAAATAATCGGTTATAGCAGTTTTGTTCATTCTACAGTTCATAAAAACAGTTCAGTCCCTAGAGCTAGCTTCTGCAGCCGAGGATCGGACCACCAAGGTCCCCGCCTTTGGCCACTGCCCAACTCACACTGCACCCGACCCCTATGGCCCCTCCTACAGGTGGTGAGCCCATTGGAGGGGGGACCCACGTGCCTTGTTCGGGCTGTGCCCGACCAGGCCCCATGGGTGTAGGCCTGGCCATCAGGCGCTCGCCATCGAGCCCCACCCCCAGGACAACCCAAAAATATTCTTAGAAAATTATTAATACAAAATATAAAGTAAAAATACACAAAACCAGTAAAGCAAACAAACCAAAGCGACAGTACCGAGAAGGGGAAAAAGCGAAAGTCGTAGTCCAGAAAGAAAGCAGTCATACACAATAATCCAACAATCCAACAATCCAAAACAAGCAATCAAACGAGCAGAGCTCATGGGGTTCGTCGCCGGCCGGCTCTTCAGCATCCGGAAACGGAAGTGATGCATGACGCATCGCAGGAGACGTAGGCGGGGTCGAGACGAAGGGGCGGAGCCAGGGTGACGACGACGGGAGGGACGGAGGGACTTCAGGGCTCCTTCCTAGAACTACGGCCTGTAACAAAATTAACCTGCACTTTACCTTTGAAAATAATCGTGGATGGTGTGAGAGAGACGAGAGACAGGAGAAGAGGAGGGTTATTTTGTATTCTGTTGGCTCACTGGAATCTTTTTCTTTTTGTGTGACTTTCACAAGGAACCTATTCAATTACAGCCACTTTTGCCTCATTTTTGATTGCGCAGAAATGTGGACATTGCATTGTCATTAAACAGTTTCATTGCTCGCACTGCTATGCCCTTATTCGGGTGGTGCTTGTCTACTAAATTTTGACTATACGAGTAAGGCACGCCGACTGAGACCGAGCATGGGAAGTAATTACCCACAATCCTGCAGCAAGAGAAAGAGAGAAGAACCATCAGCTCAGTTGTGATTACGTGACACTAGGCAGACAAAGCGTATACATAATACTCGTATTGCAAGACTTCTCTTGTTTACCAAGTTAAAATTTATTAAAAATCTTTGCTCATCTTGCAAAACACTCGCAAACCAAGTTACTTGCAATCCGAGGTTTGACTGTACTGTAAATGTGTTTTTGTTTCTATTTGACCAATTTATAAATTATTGTTGAAATAGTTGTTTTGTAATGGATTTAATGACCTATTGTCATGTGGGTTACACATGGCCATTAGAGCACAAAGCATTCGTTAATGTATTATGTATTTTTTGAGACAGAGCTTATACGAGCGAAATAACCATGTGATATCATGGTTGAAATCGTAACAGTCCGACAAAGGTGTTGAGGTATTTTTTTATCGCGATATCACGTTTATCATTACATCCCTAAAATTAACCTATATAAACGGGTCTTGCACAACTACTTAGCGCAAACCCAGTGAACATTCAACAATCCAAGAAGCCAATCCACAGATGCTTAATTTAAAATTCACTGGCACATCCAGTCTAATTTGTGCGAAAACTTTATATCAAAATTATATCAAAACTAAAGTGCTGCATTCTTTTTCTATCAACAATATTCAATTATAAATTCAATTTAGAATAACTAACCGATGGGGTGGTGTGGTGCGGCGGCACGGTGGTTAGTGCTACTGCCTCACAGCAAGAAGGTCCTGGATTCAGTCCCTGGGTCGGGCGTAGGACCTTTCTGTGTGGATTTTGCATGCTCTCCCCATGTTCACATGGGTTTCTGCCAGGGACTCAGGTTTCCTCCCACAGTCCAAAAGTGTGCGTGGTAGGCTAATTGGTGACTCAACGTTGGCCCCGTGAATGTGTGTGCCCTGTGGTGTGTTGGTGACTGCCCAGGGTTTCTGGGATAGGCTCCAATCCCCCAGTGACTCCAGTTGGGATTAAGCGGTTACGGTGATGGATGGATTGATATAAACTGAACAAACTGGTGAAGAGGGCCAGCTCTGTCCTGGGCTGTCCACTGAAATCCATCGAGCAGGTTGGGGAAGAGAGGATGCTGTCTAAGCTGACATCCATTATGGACAACACCCCCCACCCCTTGCATGAGACTGTACGAGCTCTGAGCAGCTCGTTCAGCAATAGACTTCTACACCCACAGTGTAGGAAGGAGCGCTACCGCAGGTCATTCTTACCAGCAGCTGTCAGACTTTATAACACAGTTTTAGTGTGAGTATTTTCTACTCATATACTGTCTAACGGACATATCATATGTCTTTAACTGCTGTTACTGATTTGCAGCTTGAGTGTACATTGTATATTCACCAGGATCATTCACACCCCACCCCACCCCCACACTTGTGTACATATCTCTGTACATTTTGTACATATCTCTGTACATCTTTATTTATTACATCTTTATTTATTTCTAAAACTTTGGTTGTGTGTATAGACAACTGACCTACCTGCTCTTGTTGTTCTACATTACTTTTGTGTAAGAGCTCTGTAACACCTACATTTCTCATTCGTGGGATAATAATGGTTTATTCTATTCTATAACTAACAATGCTCATCCCAGATCAAACTTAACGTAGGTATTTACGAGTATAAAAACTTTGTGGCAGACTGGAGTGCCATTGAGCACTAAATGCCAAAGTTCCAGGAGACAGATTCCACTAGGTGTCATGCCCTAATTCAGTATTATCATTACTAAGCCTGTGGGTATACCTCTGCCATTCATCTCTGCAGGATCTCCAGGAGAATATGGCTCCATTGGGCCTCCAGGTGCAGACTGCAAAAAATCCTTACAAGGTCCTTTTGGAGTTCCTGGCTTACCTGGACTAGATGGGTTAAGGGGTAAGATCTCTCTGGTCTTATAGGTTACTTAGGTATATAACATTCTTCACTCTGTTATTATAATATTTTTAATTTAATTCATACAATGTATGGTGCAGGGCTGAGATGACCCTGGACTATATCCCAGGAAACATGGAGAACACATTTACACACTACATAAAATTAATCTAAACACATATCTTTGGATTTTAAGGAAGCTGTACAATCACAGGGAGATTCAAAACTCACATATACAGAGAGGCAGGAATGGAGGCCTCAGCCCTGGAGGTGAAAGGCTTCAGCCAAAACTGTGGAGCCACTGCTCTAAACTTCAAATTCACTGAATTTGTTTAGTAGAATGTCTGATCTGCTTAAATTTAAAGGAAAATTGCTTTCCAGAATACCTTAGCAATGGAAGCAATAATATCCATAATCAGACCAAGTTACGAAGTAGATGGAAAAGATAAGAGTGGTGTGTGGCCATGAGTACAGGTTTGGTTTCATCACAGGTAGACACCAAATCAGCTTTGAACCCCCTCCCCCCTACATACACATGGTACCCCTACAATATTAGTAGGGACATGTCTCTACCGTCCATTTCAAGATCTACACCCTTATGTGTGGCTCAACAGGTTAGGATGCTGTGCCTGTGATCAGAAGGTCAAGGTTTAAATTTTGGGGACAGCAGAGCACTGGTGGGTCCTTGAGCAAGGCCCTTAACCCACTAGTGCTCCAGCAACTGCTTGATCCTTTATTTCATTTGTATGTTGCTCTGCTAAATGAATGTAATGATATATTGTTTCGAAATCTGTTAAAAATTGTTTCATGCAGTGTGAGAAACCGATGTGTTTTTATTTCAGGGCCACCTGGAGATATAGGGTTCCCTGGTCCATTTGTGAAAGTTATGGGGGATCAGGGGGATAGAGGCCCAGCAGGACCCTGTGGCATCAAAGGCTTGTTTGGCCATCCTGGACACAGGGGTCCCAAAGGGGGTAGTGGTTTGCTAGGGCAAAAAGGTAAAAAATACCTGTGCTTCATGTTATCTTACTACTATTTAAAAAGCATCAAAGTGTGTTTATGGGAGCCCCTTATGTGATATCTCACAGTGATCTCCCTCCCAAAGCCCCCAGCTGGAAGTACTCACTTTGCTTCTCTTGCTATGGGGACCAAGGGGACCACAACATTTTGTGTGCCATTTTTGGGCATCATATGTGAAGTTTGCCTGATCATTATTCTAAGTAAGTATGCTGTATGTGACAGGTAAAAAGGGTAATCAAGGATTAAGAGGCCCCACAGGACCTATGGGCCCTCCTGGAACATGTGGCCCCCCTGGACACAAGGGCAAGAAAGGAGTGTCTGGTGATCCAGGTATGTACCAGTTTCTCATAATATAAAATAACCAATGATGGGTTTTAAGGACAGCCAATATGGTCCTAATATAGTTACTGCCAAAAATCAAGTAGTATTCTGAGCATTTTGGGTAATTTGGAGGCATTCATTATTAATAATTTTATTGTGTACAATCATCATTCTTTCAGCGTCATTTCTTGGTGAAATCTTAAGAAGTCACAAATTAATTAAAAATGGAATGAAGTTGAACTGGCATCGCATTGAGGGTGTTCTTCTGCTTTGTGCCCATGTGCATCCTGAGCTCACCACAACCTGGTACTCGTTAAGCTGTTGGAAAAATTATGTATGGATTAATAAAATTCTTTATACTTTTTTACATAATAAGGAGTTTTTGATGCAGAACATATTGGTATTATTCATATTAACTATGTTATACAGCAATACAGAGTCAATGAAAATAGAGAATGTCATGATTACGGTGAGCCTACAGCCCATGCCACAAAGCAAGGACACACTGAGGGCCAGTATGGGGAGAAGATGCAAACTGCATACTCACAGAAACCCCTGGATGTGGGAAGCTGAAGCAATTAATCTGAGGATGAATTGCTCAGTGCATTAAAAGCGTGCTGTAAGACTTCTTACCACTGGGAGGCCAGACAGGTTCATGTAACAGAGATACAGTACCAAGCAAAAGTCTGGAGTCACCTACTAAAAATCATTTGTTTTTCAATAAGATAACAACCCTAAGCAAATCTTGAGGTTATGTAAGTACTGCATTATTTTGTGAACAAAGAAAAAGATGGAGTGCTGTAACAGATGACCTGCCCCCCACAATCCCTTGACCTAAACCCCATATAGCTGGTTTTGGATGAGTTGGATCGAAGAGCAAGGGCAAGTTAGTCAGCTTGTGCCCAGAACTTGTGGAAACTCCTTTAGCACTGTTGGAGAAACATTCCAGGTGACTACGTCTTGAAGGTGGTTGAAAGAATGCCAAGTCTGCGATGCTGCCATAGACACAAAAGGGGGCTATTTTGAAGTCTATAATTTGAAAAAATGTTCCTTTATTGTTGCAATATTTATTCCATCCATCCATTTTCCACCACTTATCCGGGGTCGGGTCACGGGGCAGCAGTCTAAGCAAAAGCAATCCTCTCATCAGCCACCTCCTCCAGCTCCTATGGGGGGATATGAAGGCGTTCCCAGGCCAGTCAAGAGATACAATCCCTCCAGCCTGTCCTTGGTCTGCTCAGGGCCTCCTCCCGGTTGATCATGCCCTAACCACCTCCCCAGGAGCCACCCAGGAGGCATCCTAGATAGATGCCCGATCCACCTCAACTGGCTCCTTTCGATGTGAAGGAGCAGCGGCTCTACTTTGAGACCCTCCCGAATGTCTGAGCTCCTCAGTCAACCTCTAAGGCTGAACCCAGCCACCCTACAGAGGAAACTCATTTTGGCCGCTTATATCTGCGATCTCATTCTTTCAGTCATTACCATGATCTCATGACCATAGGGGAGGGCACGAACATAGATTGACTGGTAAATCAAGAGCCTCCGTCCTTTGACTACACCTAGAAATTCCATTAAAATTATGAACAGAGTCGGTGAGTCCAACACCCACCGAGAATGAGTCAACTTACAGCTGTAAATGCAAACGAAGTTTACTCTCCATTGGTACAGGGACCTGATGGCCCACGACAACGTACCCAGTACCCCATACTCCTGAAGCAACCCCCACAAAACCCCTCAAGGGACACGATCGTATGCTTTTTCCAAGTCCACAAAGCACATGTAGACTGGTTTGGCACACTCCCATGAACCCTCCAGTATCCCTGTAAGGGTGAAAATCTGGTCCAGTCATGGGTGTAAATTATGGGGGGGGTGGAGGGGTTGTAAACCTCCCCCACCCCCACCCCTAGTGCTCAACCCAAACGTATGCCCTTGGGGGGGGGGGGGGGGGTTGTAGCCCCCCAAATAAATCAAAACCAGCTAATACAACCCCCCCCAATAATCATGTTTCCCCCGTAATGGGTGGAGACATCAACCCCCCAATGTTCCAGCCAAAGTTACGCCCTTGGGTCCAGTGTTGCGTGGCCAGGATGGAATCTGCATTGTTTCTCCTGAATCTGAGGTTCAACCAGTGGACGGACCATCCTCTCCAGTACCGAGAACATACCTTTCCAGGGAAGCTGAGGAGTGTGATCCCCCTGAAGTTGCAACACATCCTTCGGTCCCATTGAAATTAAATGACATATAGTCACAATAGTCACATAGTATTTCAGCAATATCTGTAAACTTGTATGTTTTTTAAAGTATATGGCATAATCCATTATCACTGTGATTCCATAAAACAGCGTGGTTATAAAATACATAAACAAAAACTAGTTTAAAAATTGCAAAACCAGTGTTAAACAAATATGAGTATAAATATATAGAAGGTTGTAGAAAAGCATTATGGCCACCTACAGTATACCCTGGGTCAATGGGGTGCTGCCTTTAAATAATCTGCTGGCCTTATTTGTCAAAAATACATATTTGTATTTGTGAATCAAGCATGTTATTTTTTGTCTTCCTAATTTTCCTTGACACTGGTTGAATTTTTTTTTACTTTCTCTCCCGAGAGTGGAAAGAATAGTTTGGTCTGTTTCTTTTAGTGTCGCTCAAACAAACTTTCAGTCTTTCCAAAAGCAATGCCTTACAACGCAGAAGAAGCAGCAGCAATGCATTTTTGAGTAGATTTATGTTAAATATGCCTGAGACGTTGGAGAGGTAATAAACCTGGTTTAACATTTCATAGATTTCCAACAGACCCAGAAATATGCAATAAGTTGATTTCGGCAGTCAGATGGGAGAATTAGCAGCCCACTGAATAAACATGCTTGTATATTATTTATGTGTACAAGCTTGTGTTCTTTTTAGGGATGTAACGAGACCCTCAACTCACGATTCACAATACGATTTTCTCACGATTTTTTAACAAAATGAGCTGCAGAGAAATTTATTCAAAAATATTCCTTTATTTATCTTTTTAAACTGTGCAAAAATTGTCCTCTTCCTAACAGTGCAACTGAAATTAAATAAAATACTGTTTAAAAAAATCCCAAATCAAAATAAATAAAAAATCTTCAAATACTGTAAACGGTAATCCTTTACATCAACTGCACCTTCATAATGCTTTAATATTGCATTCATAAAACGTTCAATACACCTTCATAATGTATTCATTAAATATTCAGAAATCATTCATAAACATCATGCACGTAATATACATTAATAACAAACATTATATAATAATAAAAAACATTATAATTGTATAAACATGTAATGTTTGCTATTAATGTATGCATTATGAAGGTGCACTTAATATAAAGCATTCCCAAATAAACTAAGGCTATCGTGTATCACAAGGCTCAGGCTGAGGAACTCCTTGGGTATCTTGTCTGTTGTCTTAGTATATGCTCCGACTGCGGTGAGTGATGTCTCGTTGAAGGAGACATTTTACTCGCAACTTTGCTCGGTGGTTGAAGGGTGCCCACGAGGTGACACTCCTCTGGCCATGGGTGACTTCAATGTGACCACTGGCACTGACAGGGCTGGCAATGAGGATTGTATCAGTCTCCGTGGATCTGGAGACTGGGGTGAAAGTGGCTCCATGTTCCTTGATTTTGCGAAAGGTCAGGGGCTGCGGGTCGCTGGATCCTGGTTCCAACGCCCTGAGCTGCATCGTTAGACTTGGTACTCCAGTACTGGTGGTGCGGCAAAGGAGATAGATCACATCCTCGAGGGCAGACGCTGGGGGCTCCTGCAGAACTGCAGGGTCTACAGAAATGCCCAGTTTGTGAATTCCGACCACAGACTTGTTGCCTCTCTGAAGATTCAGCTCAGATCCAGTAGGCTACCACCTACTAGGTGAATGAGGCTGGACTTAGCCAGACTCCAAGATTATGCTGTTTCTGATGAGTTTGCATGCAGTTTGTCTGAGGAACTTGCAGACTTGGGTGCAACTGCTGACTCTAATGTGATGTGGGAGACCTTCTGTGATAAGACCCTGAAGGTTGCCGAGGGCCGTGTTGGTGTTGCCAGTGTTCTCAGAAGGAGGTGTTTCATGTCGCAGGGCACCCTGGATATTATCGAGAGGAGTCGCAACGCAAGGCTTGGTGTCAACTCCAGTCTGTACCGGGAGCTGAGAAAGACAGCTGTGAGGGCAGATAAGGAGGTGTTTGTTAAACTACTTTGTGAGCAGGTGACACACCATCTGTAGACTAGTGACCCACGTCCTGCTTACAGAGTAATCTAAGCATTACACACATCTGAATCTGTTCCTCGAAGACTTGCAGTCAGGGTGGGCGATGGGATTGTCCTTACGGATGACACTGCAGTTGTGACCTACTGGGCTGGCTACTCTGAGCAGTTGTTTAAAGCTGACCCTCCAGCTAGGATGTTGGATATCTCTGGGTCTACAGTTGTCAAAGCTCCGATCAGCTGTGAACCACCCAATGTCACTGAGATTGTTTGGGTGTTGAATGAACTGGGGGGCAGGGAAGGCTGCAGGGATCTGTGGTATCCTGGGTGAACTTCTCCAGGCTGGCGGTAAGTCTGTCCTCCTGGCATTGTAGGCAATCTTTGCTTCCATTTGGGAGTCAGGCATCATCCCAACTCACTGGAAAACAGGACTTGTAGTCCCTATGTGGAAAGCGAAGTGTGATCACCTGGATTGCGGCAACTACAGGGGGATAACACTGCTTTTAGTGCTGGGTAAGGTCCTTCTTAGGGTCATCCTTAACAGGATCCATGATCACTTGCTTGCCTGTCAGCGATCGGAGCAGTCTGGTTTTGAGAAGTCTTGCATGGACTATCCTTGAACTGAGGGTTCTCATCGAGCGCAAGCGTGAATATCGGCAGAGGTTCTTTGCAGCCTTTATTGATTTACGTAAAGTGTTCGACTCAGTTGATCATGTTGCCCTGTGGGACATTCTGAGACTTCTCAGGATCTCCCCCCCCCCTGAAGTTACTAGATGTCATGGCCGGCCTGGACACTGGTACTCTGAGTGCTGTGCAGAGTGGAGGGAGAACCTCTGCGTTCTTCCCAGTTGATTCTGGGGTTCACTAGAGGTGTGTACTTGCTTCTACTGCTGTTCAATGCTTGTATGGACTGGGTGTTGGGCGGAGTTATGGGGTCCAGCGACTATGGGGCGTCCGTTGGTGAAGACAGATTTATTGATCTTGACTTTGCTGACGATGCCGTGATCTTAGCAGAGTCAATGGAGGCTTTGATTGGGGCTCTCGAGAGACTGAGCGAGGAGTCTGAGTGTGTGGGATTGCTGGTGTCCTGGATAAAGACCAAGATCCAGGCATTTAATGATTTCTTAGGCACAGCCATCAGTAGTGTGTCTGTCTGCGGGAAGAATGTCGACCTTGTCAAGAGATTTACCTACCTCGGCAGTGACATTCATGTCTCTGGTGATTCTTCCTATGAAGTCAGCAGAACGGTTGGAAGACCTTGGGAGTCATGAGGTCACTGGAAAGGGGTGTGTGGCACTCCCGATATCTTTGCTCCCTGTCTTGCTGTATGGCTATGAGACATGGATGCTATCCAGTGAGCTGAGATGAAGACAGGACTCCTTCGGTACTGTTTCTCTTCGGAGAATCCTTGGGTACTGCTGGTTTGACTTTGTGTCGAATAAGCGGTTGCTAGAGGAGTCCCAAATAAAGCACATTTCCTGCATTGTGAGGGAGCGTCAGTTACAGCACTCCGGCCATGTGGCGCATTTCCCTGAAGGTGATCCGGCTCGCAGGATACACATTGCTGTGGACCCAAGTGGCTGGACCAGGTGGGGTTGCCCACGTAACACCTGGCTGCGGCAGATGCATGGCCATTTCCGGAGGGTGGGACTGGGCCGTGTATCTGCCTGGGGGATTGCCGGCCTGGATCCCAAGGAATTTCGCTGTGTGGTGGGTGCGGCAACACGCTGCACCAACCTGACCTGACCTGACTTTTGAAAGGATTAGGAACCGATTTTTTTCATGAATTTCACCAGTCCTTTTTTCATTTTTTGACCAGCCAAAAAATACTTGTATACGTCTAAAACAGGGGTCTCCAACCATGGGTGTAAATTTCATTTAACAGTAGGGGGGGACAATAAATATAAAATTTCTCATGAACAAGGGGACACAAATAATACAGTCAAATTGTACTTATTTACAATACGCGCTGCACTTATTTTGCGCGTATAACGCGTATTTTGATTGGATGAGTGCCAATGTCTGAATCACAACAAAATGCATGTATGCCAGTTGATTCGTTGCATTTGAAGGGCGCGAAAGGCGAAATAATAATAATGTTGCATCATGGGCGTAAATTTCATTTAAGAGTAGGGGAGGACAATAAATATAAAATTTCTCATGAGCAAGGGGACACAAATAATACAGTCAAATTGTACTTATAAAGATATATCCCCACAATGAAAAACTTTGCTTCTATCATTATTATTGTAGCATGGAGACTGCGTCATTATGGTTATGGTTATTTTCAAAGTTTTTCTCAGGTTCAATGACAAAGCAG